GATGATTTTCTCAACCTCCGACATTGTTCGTTGTGATATTATCCGGCTCGGAACAGCGGCACAAAAAATCTTGGAAAATGGTGCAAGCGTATGTATAGTGGTGGGCATGCCTTCAAGAAGCCAACCACAATCACGCTCAATGGCCAGTGGCGATTCGTCCGAGGCCTTCAGCTTATGCATAGTGCTGTGCCAGCTATTGCGGAAGTGTTTTGTGCGATGTGCGGAAGCGAAACCATGGGAGCTGTGCTTTTCCAACGTTAGAGGAATGAGATAGAGGATGGACCACTGACCCTTGCACAGCTCCAGAGCTTCTGCTTCAGGAACCAACTTTAGATGATGCTTTCCAAGGTGATTGGATATGTACTCTAAGTTGAAATAGTCATCCATTTTCCTAGGCAAGGAGCTGTTGGACGTGAAGTACCTGCTGTCGATTTTAACATCGTGGCTGCCAGCTACACCTGTGTAATGACTTCCCTGTATTTGCGGAATGACCACGTCCCGGTCCCAGGCAACACCAGCCATAACAAATGTTGCAAACTGGTTGCAGCCAACCACGAGCTGATCCATGGAGAACGATGCAATAGCCATAAGCCGATGGACTTGTCCATAGCCTCCAGTATGAGACGTTCTTGCTACTCCATCCCAACCAGGGCTAAAGGTGGTACCATTGTGTGGGCTTGACGAGGTCTTCTCCATGAATGTACTGTTCAGATCGTAAAACAACGGTCTATAATTCGTATTCACCTCCCTGGAGAATACCGTAGCGGTGTTCGCTGCATCCTTCCCGTGCTGTTCCCTTTCCTGATCACCTCTTACTGTACGCAGCAGATGGTGGACAATACGATCGTAGTGCACGGCGAGGAGACCAAACCCGCCTATCAACAGTACGAGCAGGACTCTCCTGCACATCCTGAGCTGTGGACCCATATCGGACTAATTCTCTTGCCCAAACAAGAAAATCCTACTGCACACCGTTGTATTCACGAATCCATGATAATGAGAGGCGCCAGAGGCGCGGAGAAATGGCAAGCAGAAAAGCGACAGAGCAACTGCACAGCGGATTACCCAAACGCCTAGGTAGTAAACTCAGCACAGAAACATCAACAGGATAACGGGTCGAACTTCTCGTCGCTCATCATGTAGCAGTGCTGCATTGCAAAGCAGAAAGCTGCAAAGCAGGAAGCTAGAAAACGTGAAGCTAGATGGATGGATCACTATGGCATCTCAGTTGTAACACTTGCAAAATCGGTAGGTTTGGGTGGGCACGCAACGAACCAATGAAAAACAAAAAGGATAAAGATTTGCGCAGATGGTGAGTCAAGGGAAATATTAAATTGAAAGAAGGGCAACGGTGGGACACCAGTTATGCGATTGAGTCCACCGACTAAAACAGGTTTTGCACAGTCAGACGAGCACAAGGTAGCACCAGACTGACAAGGAGTACTGAGACATTCCACGGCAAGAAAGTGAGCTTGAGCACTGCTCGATAGCACCAACCAAGGACCTTCCAACTTGGAAGGCTCATTTATATTAGTGACATTTCCAAAGGGGAGGAGGTAAGCGCAATCAAGCCGAACACCAGCTACATTCCAAGGCAAGGGTATGGTAACGGGACGGTAAGACCATTGCACAATTCGACAACGCAAAGCAACAGCCACCCAACTTGGGAGGCTCAATTTTATCAAGGATCAGTCATGAAAGGGAAGCTTCGCGAGGACGAATTGTAACAAAGCGAATGCCGATATCCTACAGTGCTGTACTTTGTTAATGACTATGAAGTATGATGTAAAAACTAACTACAATAACATGTATAGTAGCACACGACGATCGTTTCGCCGTATGGATCATGACGGCTCTTCAGGTGTGCAGCCCCTTGCCTTGGAATGTAGCTTGTGTTCGGCTTGATTGCGCTTACCTTCCCCTCTTTGGAATTATCACTAATAGCAATAATGAACCTTCCAAGTTGGAAGGCCGTTAGTTAGCGCTATCGAGCAGTGCTCAAGCTCATTTCCTTGCCGTGGAATGTCTCAGTACTCCTTGTCAGTCTGGTGCTACCTTGTTCACGTCTGGCTGTTCAAAACCTGGTTTAGTTGGTGGACTCTAGCGCGTAACTTGTGCCCCAAAGGTTTCCTTGTGTCAATTGAATATAAAGATTCACAATCAGATAATGTGAGGCAGTGATTCGTAGATTTTCTCCCATGAGAGACTTTCGCCGTTGACCTGAATTTTCAAATTTGGAGGCACCGCTTTGGGGGGTGTCGCCGAAAAAGTGCATTTACTTCAAGTAGTTTAATATTCAATGGCATTCTACTTTCTAGTACATGATTGGAATGGAAAGAACGATTTACTCGCAGATCGAGTACGGGCCCAAGACAGAACCCCGTTGAACCTCTCTGCTGCTGTTGAATGTTTTTCCTTCGTACATGTAGTTCCTAACAAGCAGCCGCCTTGTAGAGCTGGAATGCTGGGTTGAACGCTATCTGAGGAAGGGCTACAGCGGCAACGGCCGGTGATGTCACTGCTTCAGCAGCTTTGGTGGCTCGGTGCCTCGAAGCCATGTTGTGTTCTGTTAGTGAGGTAGCTACGGAACCATTGTAGCGCCGTGCCGCCGACACCGACCTCAAACAGTTCTTGGGGTCGGATCCCATGCCTAACTGTGTGAAAGACATTGTACCCTTCTACATTGTAGGAAGGTGGCTACTCAGACCATGTACACGTACATGTACGTGTTGTCCCTTGTCGAGGGAGATCATCCAGTCGCTGGTGAGATACATACCAGTAGGCCGTAAGTCTTCACAGCAGTGGGCGAATTGCTCAAACCTGATCGTGTGTCTAGACCTACAGTCGGTATGTGCAATTATCATGCACATGTACATGTATGGGAAAGGAGTGAAATTGGTAGTGTGTAACACGTTATTTTCGATCTAACTTTAATTTCGGTAGAGAAACTACCGGTATGCACCTAAATTTAGATAAAACCAAAAAGGCACCAGAGAATGCACTTCCTGTGAAGGGAATGCCGGTGACCTAATTCTATTATTACACAAGAGAGAGATTGGAAGCTTTGTTACAACTCTGAGTTTCACGTATTATTACGATCATCAGGCAACAATTATTTCACCTGAAACCTGGCAGATCCCCGACACCGATATCTTAGTATACCTCCCTACAAGGCAAGAACATCGACGTGTCAAAGTGCAGTCAGAGTTAATTAAACAATAATGGGGAGTACAGTACTCAGTACATGTACTTGAGTCCTTTGCGAGAACCATGCATACTGCAGGCTAAGCGAACCTCTTCCCAGGACCGCAGGGGTGCAACAAAAATACTACAACATCAACAGGTGCACGCCAGGAGTCATCTTTCACTAACTGAACACTGGGCACTGTGAAGAGTATCGAGTATCAAGGCAAGACATCACAAGAGACAACAACCTAAAGACTTACATTATACTTGACCAACTCGTACCTGCCTACTTCGAAGTGTGACTATAATTATAGTGGCTACAAAGACAAAGGTCAGACATGCGCCAAGTTGTGTACATGTATGACTAGGAAAAGGTTGAGAGATTGCTGGATTGCTGGACTCAGGTGCGTTGTTCATCATGCTTATACAGAAAGCTAAGGTGTCCTCCTCCATCAGAGTGAAAGAGCAGCGCTGTACGAGAAGGGCATGAGTCACAAAGTACCCCACATCGTCTTATGGTTAGTTGTAACCAGTACAATACTTCAATCCAAGTGGCAGTCGTTAGGCAAATGATAGCAATGCGATAATAACGTTACTCCATATTTCGCTTGCAGTTCAGTAGCTCTAACCCGCCTCCGGGTATCCTGCCCCGCAGGGTCTGCTACCCTAAGTTTGTGCTGCTGAGGGCTTCCTGGAATGGAGGTGATGCTCCCCAGACATGTTGAAAAGCTGATCCCTCGGACCGATCTCTTTAAAACCGTAGCCGTACTCAACCGCTTCGCTCAATATGCTGAAAACATTTCTTCGTCAGTTCGTGAAAGCTTGGACAACTCACATGTCCAGGCAAGAAGGCAGCAATGCCAGTTCATTGTGCTTTTAGTAAGAGATAATTATACCAACCGACCAGCCAATACCTTTAGTGCATGCAGTGCATGTAGTACACTGGTACTATCTCCAGACCTACAATGTACAATAACTACAATGTACAATGTACAATGTACAGTGCTGGCAACTGAAATCCGACCCCTGAGCGGTGGGTTCACTTCTAGCGGACTCTGTTCGGCAGTTTTACCATCCCGTGTTGGGTCTTTGCGATGTGAGCGCACCGCTCAGGGGGTCGGATTTCAGTTGCCAGCACTGTAGATGCGAATGTACATGTACATGTACATGTATGTGCTTGATGTGTTCCTAAACACGTCAGGTGATGCGGCCGCGAATCCGACTAATTATACTTTTTTCTTCTTTTTACAATGTAGTGCTGTATTCAACCAACGTCATGAATAGCAACTCCTTATCGTGCCAGCTCGAGGGCAACTACACTGTATTCGCAACGTCGCGAGGCACTCTTTCGTGGATACAATTTACATGTACAATACATTGTACGTATAACACTTGTGCGTTCCGAGGAGAGGTTGAACTATCCACAAGACCTACAGCCATGATAAATAACCTCTCCGCATTTCACCCTCAGTACAACGAATTGCACCTGAACAATGTGTACCAGTGAAGTACAGTACACGATGGGAATAACCGTATTGCGTGACCGATCCTTTCAATGTTCTAATCTTTCAAGTGACTTTTCCTTTTCCACCTGGACGCCTCCTTGGTTTCCCTTTTCTCTCTAGCTCTTCTCCTGTGCCTTCTTGCTATTATTCACATACATGTGGGGCTTTGAATAAAACAAGTTGACAAGTGAAGTACAGAAATGGTAGATACTAGCGTAACGTGTAGTTCCTTGGTTGTGTCTATAAAGTGAAGTAATTGACACTACTTCACTCGAATCCCATCCATCACACTACATTCATTGGTTAAGCACAATTGACAGGTAGGCATTGTTGTCACTTCATTTCTTTTATCATTTTTCATACATGTATTATCATTGTGAACGTATGTACAGCATTGTATGCATTGCCGTAACAGTTGTCAACATAAAAAGAAGAAATTTATTCTGTTTGCAGCTCCCGGGCTTCGCGAGCTATAGTTCGAATTGATATAATTGTCGCTAGAAATACATTATTCCATTTGAAGGCTTCTGTAGTGTCAATAGATCTTTAGTGCACGGTGACAGGACTGATCACTGTTAGTCTTACGGAAACAAGTATAATAATATTATCGCATTCATGCATTTCGAAGTAGTATAGTATTGATCAAGGTGCGCACGGATGCGGCTATGACACTTGTGGTGTGTTTCCATCACCGAATTGGATGGATACACGATCGACGTTGTACCGCGTCCATGGTGTTAATGATAACAAGGGTTGGAAGAGATAAAGAAGGAGAGAGAAATATAGAGTACTAGTAGATACAGCTGGTACAGACCGGGTCATCATGGACCACCATGATATTTTCGATGAGCCGTAGGAATGGGGTTCAGATACTGTGCTGTAACTGATTCCATTTGCGTTTTCTAGTATCTCCCTGCAGTGTGACCTCGCGGCTGCAAGATGGCTAGAGTTTGGATCTTCGATTGGTGGCTTGAAATCAAAAGAGTGGCTTGGCAGCGGGCTTGCCTCCTGCAGCAGTTGGAAGGTTTTTCTGGTACATGTTCCACATGTTCCACGCATTAAATCCAGGTGGCATTTGTCCCGGCTGTGCCTGAGCAGGCGCGGCAGGCGCGGCAGGGTTACCTGTAGCTACTGCAGTGGGAACGGCTGGTGCACCACCGGGCATCTGCATCCCGGGCATCTGCATACCAGGCATCATGCCTGGCATCTGCATGCCAGGCATCTGCATGCCCGGGAACATGAATGGCATTCCCGGCTGACCGGGGGCCTGTGGAGCGCCAGCAGCAGGGGCAGCACGATGGCCAGTTGGGTAGCGGAATGCATCTTGGAACGCTTTCTTGGTCGCGGGTAGTTGTCCACCAGCTGGCAGCTTTGCCCCTGGCATATTCGGAAAGTAGAGCTGGAATGCTGGGTTGAACGCTATCTGCTGAGGAAGGGCTCCTGCGGCTACGGCCGGTGATGTCACTGCTTCAGCAGCTTTGGTGGTCGGTGCCTCGAAGCCAGGGCATGTGGCCCCCGGGTAGACAATCAGTTCGGTGGAAGCCTTATCTTTGGCGCAGCAAGATTGCTCCGTGGACTTGTACGTCCATGTGTCGTTGCAGCATTTCGTGATTTTGTCGGTGATTTTGATCCCGTCGGTGTTACCGCAGCACTTGACCTGGCCCTTCTTGACGGCCTTCTTTCCGCAGCAAGTGTAGTCTCTCTTGCGGCCAACTTTCACGGCGTTGCCGTCGCAGCAGAGGTAGGAGTTGCTCACTAGCCTGTTGCCGCAACATTGCCTGCGTCCCAGCTCGAATACGAAGCCGCCGCAGCAGCCCTCCTGGTGTAACTCGTACGTCTCGATTCCGCAGCAGCCTTCCTCCAATGGATGGTACGTGTCGACGCCTCCACAGCATGCCTCGGTGCGGTTGTCTACTGGCTGACCTTCGCAGCACACGGAGAACCTGTGCGCAAGAACAACAGAACAGGCATCAGTCCTGGTGGCCCATAGCTAGCCTTCTAGTTGGGTACAACAGGAAACATCTAGAAATTTAGTGGTCAAACGCGCAAAGTGTAGTCAGTACTAGGGACATGTAACATGTTCTATCATTGCAACGAACTTGTAGCACGTCGGTAACATAGTAGTATAGGTGGCAGCAGCATATTACGTTTGACTAAGTTTGGTCATGACCGTCCCGAGTAAACCCTAATATAACTGTCTAGACGGATCGACCCAACAACTACATATCATTGTACGTGTACATCTGATATTCTATCTCCTTTTTATCAAGTTTTGATAGCGAACCTACTTTTCTACGGCCTGCTTCCTGCTGAAATAGTCATGCCCAAGTCAAACGCCAGCAACTCCACGCCATATGCAGAGATTTTACGGTGAAGCAAGCCCCACACTTCCTGCCATCTTATCCTTTTCAAGCGTACCGGAATGCGCTTTGGGGATGGTTGCACTTTCAAAGGTGAATACGTTACTGAAATGTCCGCATCAAGATACCCGTGAGTGTAGCTGCATCACATGAAACAGCGAGGCATTGTCCATTCCTATTTCAACGACATGTCACATGATGAACATGTTAACGAAATGTTTAATCCATCTATCGGATGGCGTTAGTCATAATGATTTGAACAATTCAGAGCAACACATGAGTGTCTGCATAAGCCGAGTTGAAAATGATGTGCGACAAAAATGTGTCGCAGACCACCGTCACGCCTCTCCAAGCAAATTAAATTATGCACAGCGGAAGACGCACATGCACACGCGCACATACACGCACAAACACATCCACGCGCGAGGACACACACGCACACACACAGACACACGCGCGCACACATACGCACACACACACACACACACACTTACTGTGGTGGGGCGACGTGTTGCATAGGTTCGTTGTTGCAGCAGAGTTGCTCTCTGGGGTTGATCTGATTACCACCACACATAGCTGCCATCTGCCATGGCTGAGCATTGGTCACAGACGCTAGGACAACGATGCCCACAAAGGATGAAAACGACAACATCTCCGCTTCCAGCAGTAAGGACCCTGAGAAAATTGGTTTGCAGTTCTTTGTCTCTCTCTTTCTTGCTAAGGAATTTCTCTGAGAAGAAATTGTCTCAAGACAGTGCCCTCAGTGAGATGATTCGCTTGTGATGTTGGCATTCTGTTGCTGTTCGAATTTATGCGTTTGCGAGCGAGGTATGGTAGACGCGAGTTATTAATTCAGTCGTGTGGATAGTTCAAACGCCAAACGGTAGGACCGGCCGCCAGAAATGCCATGTTATCAGTCGCTTTGGTCTTAGTCCACGTCCTGAGGTTACCTGTAGGGACGCTGTAGCCTCTTTTTTCCATCGGTTCGATTAGAGAGCAAAGTCTGATAAGAGCAGCAGATCTAGTCAGGTACCGATGTGGTTATGAGATCAGGGCCTCCTCCATACAGGTCTAGAGTCTGTGTGTGCATCTGCCATGCATGCACATGTGCCTTAGACCAATCCGCGCGCTGCTGCTTAGTGTCGGGGATATCTAAGTCGAGGCTAGCTGGATACTGCAGGCGCGACTAGCAGCTGGGCATGTAATCGGGCTGAGCTAGTGGTCACCACTGTGTGTGCACGTGTACACGTGTTGAGACGGGGACTAAGCTACAGTGCGTGCAGCTGCGAGATAAAGTTAATATCAATGTTGCAGCAGGTCTATCCCAAAGTCACGCAGCATCCATCAACCTACCGCGATTATTCATAGGTTTGATCATGGCCAGTGATACAGCTTGTAAAGAGGAATAAAAGTGTTAATAACAACGAAATCACCTTAGAGGATAGCCACCACTGACGAACAGACGATTAATATTACTGTACAGTCTTTGCTTATGTCAGTTATGACGATGGCACAGGTGTGCATATCTGACGTAATCCTTCTCCGGCAAGTGTTCACTGGCTGTAGTTATTGGGTTAAATTATGTCCCAGCTATCGCGACACCTGACCGCGCGGAAATATGTGAGCGAGTGCAGACCCGCAGATGACGGCTGCTTTCAATGCATCGTGAACCGACATGATGGTGACTGATACTACTAGTATCCGCAGTCGGACGTTGGCGGGGTACAACGGCTGGATCTTCACCTAGGCTACCTTTGACCATCACCTTAGTATGATAATACTGTAGCTGTTGGTGAATTCTGTACTTGCACGATGCATTGGCTACAGACTGACCCAGTGCTAGTGAACGTTATCCGTGACAGTGCCACTGTTATCAGCCATTTGCTAGTGACGCAAATCCTAACCTCCGACGTGACTGTGTAAACATAATGTTATTGGTATGGTACGCAATGGCAAGGCCCTAGTGGAATATGCACAACCTTCTGAGGAAAAGGCTGCAAAAACGTTGTTGTACTTGATTGTTGTGAGTAGGATCGTGGCATATTCGTGACATGATCGCACTCAACTCTCGACAGGTCTGATTTCTACTGGATATCCTGGGATCGGTGGACCATCGACATAAGCTGTAGAAACAAACATGACTATTGTGTACATGTTATCGTATCAGTATAAACAGGTTAGACAACAACCATCACAACACATGTGAACTACGTTTCTACACGTCCACGGTATTCCATTAGACAATAATAATTGCACACCACACACCAAGAGACAAGGCGTTTTGTGACATTCTATAAACTGTTGAAGGCTTATGTACTTCAATATGTACTACAATGTTCTAGTGCTCATGATACAATTGCCTGCAGTGCGCCATCTATTTCATGCGTGGCGTCCACTCTGCACGTCCAACAACGCATTCTAACAATATTGGAACCTATAGGTATGTGTATGCAGGCAGGCATGCTGGGATGATCTAAGACAACGTTTGAGAAACAGAGTGTACCAAGTTCTGCTTTGAAGCGGAAGGATTTTTCCAGCCGTGCTGCGACCCACAGTTTATCACCGTTAATTGGGAACTCGTGGGACGAAGGAAGCATGAATGCAGCGAATGGGATTTTCGGTCTTTGACCACTTTGTGGTACCTATAGAAGACGACATGTGGCAGTTGTGATCAGATGTATGATCAACACAAGAGAAACGCCAGTGTTTCATCACTGAAGAGTGTAGTGTATATCTCCCGGCTTCATTGGATGTGGGGCAGTTGTGTTACAACTTCCAACACTTGGTGATGAAAGCGAATGAATTTGCGAGGAAAGTCGGGCGGAAGGCAAAAGAGAAGGTGAGATGTTCACTGTACACGATGATGTAGGCTCGCGGCATCATCAAAAACGGTGCTGCATGATTGCCAGGGGGCCATTACCAAAATAATGGAGATCAGGCAATACTTTCCATGTGATGTTTCACCTGACATGGTGCAAAGAATGGGAAGAGTTTGAAGCTGTGTTACATGCGAATGGTTTGTGCTCCAGACCTACAGCAATGTGACATACCAGAACACTATAGTTTACAAGTACGTGTACAGGTATGCACGCACTTGGGCTTTACTTTTTTTTTTTGGATTGAGGAAAATGTTATTAACTCCAAAGCACGAAAAAGGCCAAAAACTAAACCAAGAACATATCCAATAACATGTTATTTATAAAGACAGGACAAGTGAATAATTAGTCAGTCCATTGTTCATGATGATCTCCGACGGTTACGTCGGCAAGCGAGCCTCCGCCACTGCCAAAGCAGCGTGGGCTCCGCAGGAGGGTGCAAATTTCAAACCAAAATTTAAAGGCCTACAACCGCGAATGCACTTGGGCTTTACTACACCTTTGAGATATTTATTTCAATCTTTGCCCCGAAACTCCCCTCCACCCCCCCACCCTCTGCTCCCCAGCTTCCCGCATACTGGCAATAGAATGGATGTCTACAGTGCAGTGCATGCGCTCCACTGTACTTCAGCCAAATGTCAATAATTTTTTACAAGATACAGAACTCACTGGCAGGCACATGGGGCTAGCATGAGGTGAGATGGTGCTGGTCGAGCCTACCATGCTCAACCGAGCAAAGGTCTCGACATAATTATGCGAATGGCAGGGGCACCAAATTGAGGGGAAAGCATGGCACGGGCGACATGAAAGATTTAGGATAGTGGGAGAACCTAATTTGGAACACAGCAGAGAATAGAAAAAATAAAACAGATAATGGGAGTGAAGAAGATTGGCAAATGAAGTGTACACAAGTGTTGAAGTGGAATTTTGCTACTCAGACTTGGCACGAATTTAGCTTGGGGAGGGAGAATCATGGCAATAATCCCGGAAGAGGCTAGAGACGGTCGTTAAACGAATACCAGTCCATCTGGCGCATGCGGCCGTACATCTTCTTCTCGAAGGTCTGCATTGCCCTTTGGGAGGCGCGACCAACGAGGATAGATGCTGCCAGGCAATTCCAGGTCACAATCATGGGGTGGAGCAAGGACGGAAGGACATCGTTCCCACAGGGTGGTCGGGCTTTGCCAGATGGAACGGCTGGTGGTTCGCGACTGCGCGGACGGTGGTTCGGGCGCTGGGCGGGCTGGGGCTGGGGCCGGGTAGAAGGGCTTTGACTATTGCAGGGTCACTCAGGTAGTGGAGCTTGAAGAGGTTGCAGAGGGCAGCAATAGTGCGACGGATGACCAGGCTAGGCAGGTAACAGGCATCGCCGCTTGCATCGAGTGCCCTACGCTGAATGACTGCTAGCCTGGCTAGTGCAGGGAGTGCTGCGCTCATCCATACCTGCATGTCATAATATTCTAGGATCGGCCGGGCAAACCCACCACGGTAGACTACTCCGTGGCATTTACGATTGAGGGCCAGGGCAGGATTGCGGAAGAAGTCGAGTTGGACATGTATCTCTATTCTTGGTGCATGTGCATCCATGTAAATTGTAAAATGATGTCTAATATGACCAGGACGGCATCATTACAAGTATTTGGACACACGAGTATCGCGGTCAGAAGGAGGATCGGCGGGAAGGGGTATCTACAAATCGAAGTACTTTGTAGGCTCCCAAAACGTCACACCGTCTGCACAGGATATACATGGCTGTACATTGTACAATGTATGTACATGTGTCAGCATAATTATACTATACATGCCCACACAGATGTACACCCTGTACACATTCTGTAGGCTCTTGGGAGCATGGCCTGCATGTACATGTACATGTATGTCTGGACAATCATTGATCAGTGTAGCACAGAGGCCGTTGAAAGGGTGTTGCGAGGATGCATGGATACAATACTCACAGGCCAATCATTTTGAGCGTAGGAATATTTCAATCAGGATTTCCTAGAACTGGATGCGTAAAGATCTACAGTACATTGGGTTTTGAAAAGGAACTCACAGCCATCACTCCTCAATCAAGATGCACAGTGAGACCAGGGAGCATATTCTGTAGGGCCTTCCACCTTTAAAGAACACTTTAAAGGGGAAATGCATCGATTTTTCGAGTAGGGTCCAGAAGAAAGGCAATTTGATATCGGTTCGAATGGCGCATCTCTCGCTTCCATACGATAAGCCAAACTTGCCAAAAAGCCAATTGTATACTCACGTTGCCATAGCGACCAGCGGAGTGATGACGTACGAAAGGCTTAGCTCCACCACAGAGAAGGTCGATCACTGCAGGAATTGGTCATTTTCAATCGTCTTATTGTATTCACGATGCGAAAGAAGTGCTGTGTTCAATGCTGTTTGTGCCGTGAGCTGTTTATCGGCCTTCTCCTGCATTTCCCTAGGCTGACTGTGCCTAGGAAATGGCTTCCTCTAGGAGAAGATGCTTGGTACTCGCCATCTCTCCTGATACATTTTCAGCAGACTTTCAAACCTACTACATTATTTCATTCGTCAATCTCCACCACCCGTCGTCTCACCTGGCTTCAAAAGATGTTATGAGAGATAGGAGAGTCGCCAGGGAGCATCAAATCCATCTCCAGGAAGTGGAAAGAGAAAACGGCATGGTCCTTGGTTGGGGGAAATGCTGAACGTCTGATTTGTCCCAACCAAGATTTCAGCATTTCATTCGTCACTATTTTCGCTTGTCTGCTGATGTCTCCGCACTCCAGCTTTCTCCTATCGGTGTCACGTCCCAGTACACAACCGAGAGAACAACTAACAACTAACAAACTGTTCACTGCACTAACAGCATTGAACACAGCCCTTCTTGCACTTCGTGAATACAATAAACCAATTGAAAATGACCAAATTCCGCAGTGATCGACCTACTCTGTGGTGGAGCTAAGCCTTTCATACGTCATCACTCCGCTGGTGGCTATGACAATGTGAGTATACAATTGGCGATTTGGCAAGTTTGGCTTATCGTACGGAAGCGAAAGATATGCCATTCGAACCGATATCAAATTGTCTTTCTTCTGAACCCTACTCGAAAAATCGATGCACTTCCCCTTTAGAAACTGATTCTGCCACTCTTGTAAGAGGCTTGCTTGCTCTCTCCTCACACACCGTCTCCTCTGGAATTACATCTAACAGCGCTCACGCCACTACTCAACGTAGTATTTGCTCATTGAGCAATTTTAATCTTTTCATTCTCTTTTATATGAATAAACGCCGCGGAGACAACAATTTTAGTAAAGCAATAGATTGAACTAACTCTGCCGTCATCACCATGCATGAACGAAGTCAAACGTTTTCCAGAATCGATTTTCATGTCACTACATGCACCATCAGTGGACTATCGTGACTGTAGTGAAGGCAAACGATATTCCACTGATGATAGTGACATGAAAATCCGTTCTGGTAAACATTTGATGTAGTTGATGCATGATGATGACGGCAGAGTTAGTTCTAAAATTATCTAACGTTATTTCACCTTAGTGAAATGACGCTGATTCTGTTTATTGCAATCCTTAAACTTCTATTTAATGCTTTATCATTCTCTTTTAAATCTCGGATGTTGAGCCAATAGTAAATGTAGAGAGGAAAAGGACATATGGATACGAGTTAAGAGTAACTATCCATCACTGTAACCAGATACTAGATACAGTCAGAAAGTGCAACAACTGGGCACAAAACTGACAGAGTACTGAGACATTCAAAGTCTCGACACCTAGCTTCAACACATCTCCGTAGCGCTAACTGACAGCCTTCCAACTGGGAAGGCTCAAGGTTATGGAAAGACCAAAGAGGAGAAGGTAAGCGCAACGAAAACGAGCACAAGCTACAGCCCCAACGGAACAAAGAATGTCGATTGTTACTGGACGATAACGAGACCAGTAGGATACTTGACAAAGCGTCTACATGTACAATTCGAAGCAGCAAAGCAGCACACCACCCAACTTGCGTGGCTCATAAATATCAAAGATAAGTAAAGAAGGGGGAAGCTTTCCTACTGGTCTCGTCATCGTCCAGTAACAATCGACATTCTTTGTTCCATTGGGACTGTAGCTTGTGCTCGTTTTCGTTGCGCTTACCTTCTCCTCTTTGGTCTTTCCATAACCTTGAACCTTCCCAATTGGAAAGCTGTCGGTTAGCGCTACGGAGATGTGTTGAAGCTAGGTGTCGAGACTTCGAATTTCTCAGTACTCTGTCAGTCTTGTGCTTAGTTGTTGCACTTTCTGACTGTATATAGTATCTAGTTACAGTGATGGATAGTTACTCTTAACTCGTATATGTCCTTTTCCTTTCATTCTCTTTTGTTCGTCTTGTTCTTCTTTTCTGCAATTTAATTCTCCCTACCCGATCTCCCGTTTTTGGTTAGTTCATCGAGCTATGAAGTCGAGACCTCTGGTCGGGTGATCCTAATGGGCCCCACCACCACACTCCAGTATTCACTTCAGTATCTGGAGATGTGTGGATAAGAAAAATTGCATTGTGGTAGTGATGTCAAGGATCGAAGAGCACAACATATTACGGTGATCTTGGAGCACACATTCCATTTAATCCATTAGCCTGTGTAATGGGTAGCCGAGTGGTAGGCGCGGTGAAATCAACAAGAATTACTTTTATTCTACTTTCAGGTACACACCTGAGATATAATTATTAGTGAAAGAAGAAGCGGCAAAATAACTGACTTTCTCTCCGGTGCACACCTGGAGGTTGAATAGCTCGTTATTATCAAAATCTCATCTTCATCAAAACAGAAATGCGCAGCCGCTTTTATGCAGCAGACGCCGTACGCTTACATACGGAGATACACTAAATATACATCAGGCAAAGCTCCGTATTAGTTCCGTACTACTTCCGTATTGGTCGGGCAGGGATACTACACCCTCCCTACAGATAATCACGCCCTCGTGATTTTCAAAAAATTAGTGAAGAGTTATGAACACAGCGTCAACCGGAAGATGGCAAAATTATATCGGAAATGATAACGTTTAGAATAGACAGAAGAAATGAACTGATAACAAATCATAAAGTAGAAGCACACCAGGTTCATACGATCTCACGGGGTCAAAAGGGGAAAGAACTGTCCTCCAAATAGGACCTGAAAATCCACAGCACTCTTGCTGCACAACGCTGGCACAACCCGCCAGGAACATCGCAGGTCAAAAACCGAACTGAATACACTATACCTATAAGGGGCATTGTCACACACATTGTCCCACGTTAGCTGGGTAAGCCGTGGCTCACCATGATCAGACGCCTACCAAACTAAACTGGATTCACACACTCGCATAAAGGAAGACTGAAGAGAACAGGGAGACTGAAGGAAGACAGGAAAGAAAATGCCATACCTGGAATCAGCGTTAGTAGCCACCGTGGCGGCTGGAGCTACGGCGGAGGGCGAGCCAGGTTTTATCTTCATCTTGGTGGAGCCGGTCACTCAGAGCGGCTAGCTCGGCGTCAGACAAATGACCTTCCTCCTCGTCTTGAATCGCGGTCTTCACATTGTCGATAGCATCGCTTTGCGCGACGTAAAGAGTGATGGTCTAGCCAGGAAGAGTGTTGACGAAAATCTGCATCCCAACACGGAGGCGAAGTACCGTTTTTTAGTTAATGAAGAGTGGACTCCTGCTGAACGTTGTTGTGGTCACTCAGGGTTCGGCCGTCTGCCAACTGCGTGCCAGCGAAAATCAAACGCTGCTGGTCTTGGAGAATACCCTCCTCGTCTTGGGCAGAAGCCTGCCTGTTGTCGTCCTCATCAGCTTCGCCATCACCACCGGTAGTATACATGTAGGTCGCTTGGAATCGCCATCGGAGTCTCCAGTGAGTGCCGTGCGGAGAGAAGGGTGATCCACGCTAGCACCCTGACTGTGCTGCAGGCTAATAAGCATGGCCAGGCCCAGGAAAGCAAGAAACATGATTCTCATCTTGATTCGTCGCACGGAGCTGCAGCGGGTTGAGCCATCGGAGTCTGGGGTCGAATCACGTTGTTTTATTTAAAACTACACCGCTGCCACCAATGTAATGGGTAGCCGAGTGGTAGGCGCGGTGAAATCAACAAGATTATTACTTTTATTCTACTTTCAGGTACATACCTGAGATATAATTATTAGTGAAAGAAGAAGCGGCAAAATAACTGACTTTCTCTCCGGTGCACACCTGGAGGTTGAATAGCTCGTTATTATCAAAATCTCATCTTCATCAAAACAGAAATGCGCAGCCGCTTTTATGCAGCAGACGCCGTACGCTTACATACGGAGATACACTAAATATACATCAGGCAAAGCTCCGTATTAGTTCCGTACTACTTCCGTATTGGTCGGGCAGGGATACTACACCTGCTTACCCTTGGAGATCTGCAGAAAAGCAGTGAGCCGTTTCTGCTTGGATAACAACATCACCATAGTTTTGTGGTAAGAACATCCCTGGCCTAGAACGAAAGTCCCTGATTCCTTTTGGGGGGAGGGGGGGGCAGTCAATTTTCCCTCCTAACCTTTTCCCCTTTTTACTCTCACAAACTGTGCCAAGTGCTCCTTGCTTACTGGAGCCTAACCTTAACTGTAGAGTTTCCAGAGTCTTGACAGCACTTCAAAATGTTCGCTCCGAAAATACCAACAATCTATATGTTTCACTATAGCGGCACCCCCTCCCCCCTTCCCGGCCCCTCCCCACCCCTCCCCGCCCCACCCCCTTTGAATCCACAGCGTCACCTACCTCATTGTACGCTGAAGCCTACCTAAGCCAGTCGCTCAAGCTAGCGACCTTACAGATGTCGTCCAGTGCGCGAGTGGTCTTCTTACCAAGGTCATTTGACTGGAAATGACATGTACATGTACATGTACTAGTACTTCTGCAGTACTTGTACATATAGTGGTCCTCTGGGACAGGTAATAGGTGGTCACCTTATCAGAGTGGTCGCCTTGACAGGTTTTACCGAAGTTCATTAGGAGTTGGCCTTCGGAGTTCTTACTCCTTCTATCCTCCCCCACGATTAGTTCAAGGTGCGTGCTTTGTTTTGCACTTTTAAAATAGCTGCAACTCCTTTTACTCCTTTTATTTTGTTTGTTCATACAGATGTTTGTATTATGGAGACTGGCTGGACAGGCGATAAGGGTTTTGGCAGCCCTTAGAAATTATAACTTGAATTTCAAATGACAACATACAATAATACATGACATTTTAACTCCTCTGAGTAAACTTCCCCCAGCAGCACGGACATGTACATGTACATGTACATGTACATGTACATGTACATGTACATATACATTAACGTGTACATGTACATGTACACGTTAATGTACATGTACATTAACGTGTACATGTACATGACTGTACACATGTACATGTACACGTTAATGTACTATCATAATCGTGTTATATTCGTCAGCCTACTTTCAGACTTGCATGAACTTTGCTTATCAAGCGTTACAAGGTCAAGGTATGGATAGCAAGTGACAGTATAAGTATATCGCTTGGATTTTACAAATGATTAATAACTCAAGGAATACAGCTTTATAAAAATAGTACTGAAAGTATACAGGCCACAAACTGAATAACATGCTTCAAGATTGATTTTAGTGTATTCTTCAAATTTAGAAATGACCAGTTGATCAAGCGTATTGCTTCAATCTTATGCTGTAGAAATGATAATGGAGTTATTGTAGAATTCATTGTAGAAATTGTGTGCGTGAATGGCACAAGAGCGATGAGAATCCTCACTCATAAGTTTGAGATTTTGCAACTGTATTATGCAAGGCTGACAGATATAGACCAGCTATATTGTCTGCTGTCTGAGTTTAGTTTATAACGGTTGCTATTGGCCAGTTACTTATTATGAACCAACACGTAATGAACATTACCTGACAGTCAATGTTATCATGAACTGTAATTCAAATTCAATTTATGATAATTATATGGCTTAGAATCAAATATGATAGCGTTACTTACCGTTACTTACCAAGGACATGAAGCCAGAGTACCGTGTTGACGGATTCAACGGCCCAGGGAATACTATGCTGGCCATGATTGGATCACTATAATTCACCCTTCCGTAACCTGTTTCCCTGACGACCGAGGCCTTTCACCAGGCATTGGACAGAGGTCGGTTTCTCCATGACTCCGATTTTGTCACACGTTCACGTGGATGACACGCGATATTTTGTCCCTGAACGCCACCAGGTGGAGGTCGAAAAGTGACGAGGATTTGCGTGGCTGTCGGACTGGTGTTGGCAGCTGCTCGCGGCGTTTGGCCTTTGCCGCAGCCTCGGCGGCCATATTCGCCTGGGCCTGTTTGACGAGGCCATGAAAGGCTTGGCGAACACTATGCCCATCATCCGCAGCCGACGTTTCCATATATTGGAAGTTCAGTGCCGTTGCCAGAGCGGATGCTTCAGCGTAGGACACCTGTCTCTGTGATTTCATATCACATTTATTCCCAACCAGCATCACAGCGGGCCGTTCGGTACTCAGACCCAGATCGAACCGGTCGCTGCGACTGGCTGCCATGACGCTGATCATGTCCCTGGCTGATCGAAATGTATGTCGGTCGGCAATGGAGAAGACGATCATGAATGCAGTTATGCCTTCCAGCTGTCTGCGCCTATAAAGTAGATCAGTCTCTCTCTGTAACAAGGAAAGGGACCACACGAACAGCATAGAATGCGCACACAGAACAAGTTTGCAATGAGGTTGTCGCCACCACTGAAAACTCTTAACACCTGTATCGTATGGATTTCCAGCAAATGTGCAGATATACTATGCACAAATACCAGTACCTAGACAGGATAAACTCCAATCTTCCAGGCACAAACAGTCCATGGCTACACCACACGACTCGAATTGATCCGAATTTTCACCCAGGAAGGCATCATCAATGACCAAAATCAAGTCGTGCGCTGCAGCGGAGGACTCTTTGTGTGTACCAGATTGGAGGTTGCAACTATAACAAGTGAATGTTCACAGCTCACAGAGTGAGTAGGATAAGTAGGATCATTTTAGTCATCAGTATCATGTAGTATCCTAAAGCACAGTTTTCTTTCCAATCGGATTTATAATATACAATGCCACCTAGAGAAAGAGTGGGAGAAAGAGCCAGAGGCTATAGAAAAACAGAGGAGTTTCAAACATTCAATAATTATTATCGTTTTCATTATTATGTCTTGTGAATGACCAATAATTCTTCCAAGGTGCTCATGTGCATGTTGGACTGATATGTTTTTAGAACCTTCACAGAAGGGTCCCCTTTGACCCTTCACAGAATAATAATATTAATAATATTTAAAACTCGGATGTTGAGCCATAAATAAATGTAGAAAAGAAAAGGACATATGGATACGAGTTAAGAGTAACTCTCCATCCCTGCAACTGGATACTATTATACAGTCACTATATACCATATACCTTGAACCTTCCAAGTTGGAAGGCTGTCGGTTAGCGCTACGGAGATGTGTTGAAGCTAGGTGTCAGGACGTTGAATGTCTCAGTACTCTTGTCAGTTTTGTGCCTAGCTATTGCACTTTCTGACTGTATATAGTATCCAGTTACAGTGATGGAGAGTTACTCTTAACTCGTATCAATAATATTTAACGTTATTACATGCGTGCGCCTAGATTGGCTTGCTCCCAACGGAGGTACATGTACATTGATACTTTTTGCGATGTACATGTACATGTACTGTAGACACTTTGCCGAGTACTAAACGACTACTACAGTACGTCCATCACAACAGTGACTGTGGCTAGTGTCACGCCTATTTGGCACAGTCCGTAAATGTACATGCGCTATTTAGCATTTACCATGCGGCCTTGGCACCATGTCTATCTTGAGGAAAGTGCCTACAATAAAGTGTCACAGTGGTGGCAGTCCCTTTCAGCCCATATATCGCTTCATCACTGCATGTTGGCTACGTTTTTAGTGGGCCTTGCCAGTATCCACGTACAGGCTATTTTCTGCGCTCCAAGTGCCAATTACCAAGACGCCCTGACACCACCTCTGAAAGCGATTCGCCGCAGCTAGCTCAACCAGTTCCGTGAGTGGTACCAGTGTTGGTTGACGTGAGCGTCACACCGTTCTACCTGCTGACATGTTGTGGCATGTAAAGTGATGGGAAGACGTCGCTGGTGGCAGGACGTTCAGGGCATCCGTTGTTGCTTTTGGTGCGAAGCCTGACATAAAATTTCATAGGGTCGTTGTGAGGGGCAGTACAGACCAAGAAGATCTTAGCCTCGACGCGTGTATGCTAACAGTTAAGTACTGCATGCAGAGAGGTAGGCACTGAAGAGTAACACTGAATACCTTTGCCAAGGTACTGCATCCAAGCCTCCGTTTACTGCCCATTACAGGCTGTGGTCAAGAGCACACATGTGCATGTACATGTAATTGCTCAGTACGAAAGCACCGAGTTCTGGTAAATGTACAAGAGTAGAGTACTTGCTCCAGTAATGACGGTTGGTGTCGCGTACATGTACAATGTACACTCCATGTAGTACATGTGATAGTGGATAGAATGCGAGTGCCCAACATATAATCATTGCATTTACACCGTAATAGTAACGTTGTCAAGTAGTGTAGGTTGAGTCCACGAAACCGCTGAAAGGAAATTGTTAGCGATGACAGGTCAACATCTAAACCAACTTTAGTGCCCTACTGATGTTGATAGGAAGTGAAGGCTGAAGGTACAATGTACACTTCTACTTTGTACTTCGATGCTAAGACGGTCGCTATTTATTCCAAGCAAGGTGTTTGATGTGAGTAATGTTCCTTCCGGGCCTTTCATCAGGGCATGATAATCACTGGTAATCAAGACAAATGCCAAAGGCAGCCGCTGCGTGTGCTGGACCTCTTAACTGCATTATTAGTTTACCGATAATTGGGCAACAAGGTCAAACTGTCCTTTGTACTGGTTTCTGGCTAGCAGAAGGCAACTGTTTCTTGAATCAAGGTACGAGTACAGCGCAAAAATTCCTTTAGTCAGCTGATAGACTATACATGTACTGACAACAACTCATACTTACAAGTACATGTACATCTACAATCATCTACATGTACATCTACAACCCACCAATCTGTATTGCAGATGGGTTAGCTGTCTGATGATTGCCTTAGCATTTAGCTACGTGCATGAAACGCAGCGTTACAACGTATGTATTATATATAATTGGTGGAACCATTCTTTTTGACCTTTGTGTATTGCAGATAGGTGTAGATCTACCCCATCAAGTACAGCCGACCTCCTAAATGCTGGGACAGCGCAGCCGTAATACTATAGACACCAGCGTGGACGGCAGTGAAAGCAACCCTATGTGTTCATGTGTTCGGATTGCCATTGTAGCTACAGACTGGAGAGATCGATGCTGCGTCAACTGAAAGACCTGGGGACGAGGCTACATTGTACAAGAATCGTCAACGACTAGGGCAGCGGCTATGCCTAGGAATAAAGTCATAGATATTGAAATTAACAATTGGGATCATCTCGCTCAATGCAACAGGTTTGTACAGACTTTTGAGCCTTCTGTGTGCCTTTCACGACCATGCATGGTTTGTCCAAATAGGGCCTTAATTGACCATGATGACGACCGCTCTACTCTCGCTGGGATGTCAGCCGAACATAATCTAGCCGCTTGGTAGACCTGCAGGCTGTGCTAGGATCAACTGTACTGAGTATGAGCTAGAGTACTAGTACGTTCAATTGGTGAGGTGAATGTTATCATGGTGGGCTACACGAGAAACACACACACACACACTGCCAGGCCTTGCCTTCTGGTAGTGGGTAACGGTGCCCGCGGCGGTAGACGTCGTAACGCCGAACAGTGGAGCTGTGTTCGGTGCATGGTCGGCGTCCCTATCCTGCCCCATCCTGTACACGTTCGTGTATATCCCCGGGTTGCTGACTGTGTACGACAGGTGAAGGTTGCAACCGCTCAATGCTCACAATAGCGGCGCCACTAACGTGCGGCCTGAGACACTAGCAGCGACACAGTTACACTGGCTCCTAATCGCACTACACCTACCGCAATGCTGGCAGCCGGGGTGGACGGCTGATCAGCGGAGGCTCTCACCCGAACCTCCAGTCCGTGACACTACACGTACAAAGCATGCGCTGCGAAGACACCAGCAGAAGGGCAACCAGGAAGTGTACCCAGCTGGCGATTTCCTGAACGCCTTGTTCGCTAAACCGAAGCAACCCTAGCATCAGCGATATACAGAACGCTTGCCCCGTATGCTTCAATGCAGGCCTGATGTTTACCATTCAGCACAAATACCTCACTAGTGGACACGTATTGGCATGATATACATGTAGGATTCGATTGCAGAGCGTGTTGGACCATGTTAATTGATCAGGTAGTGAGATGCTGTACGCGTGTCGCTTTCATCTAGCATCAAGAGTCTATTGAGCTAAGCCGATGACCAGACACCCTCCCTTACTTAGGTCTTAACCAGCTGCAGATTGAGCTAATCCAAGTACAGTTGCATATGCAGCGTTAAATAATAGGGATCGTGCTTAGCACATCGCGTCCGCTTTGCTGTACAATTATGCACTGTTCCGCCCTCTTGGCGCAGACTTCTGTTCCAAATTATATTTCTAGTGTGCTCAGTTTCGACGCGCAGCATATTTAGTAACGCCTAACCAACTAGAACAATAATTTTATGCGGCCAGTCACATTCGCTGAGTGTCTTTGCTAGTGTTTCGAAGGGATCTCGAGTGGGGCGCGGCATAACAGACACGATCGAGAACCAAAACCAGAAATTCGCTCACGCAGATGGAGCATAGCCATAGGATAGGCGAGCATACTAGGTGGAGATAATCGTACACGGTGCCTCTCTTCCTGTGTTGTCTGTTCTACACATAGTGGTCATTCACACCCAGGTCTTGTAGACAGCATCAGCAAACGCTGAAGAATACTCTATGAGTACGTTCGCGTTCAAGAAATATGGGCACTCTTATCGCCTCTTATCACCTCGTGGCTAATGTCGATTATACTCCAGTAGAATCCATTCATGGAACCACTTCGAATAGCACCTTTACATATAATGTTTAACCTTACAACAGTCAGCAATGGGACAAAGCTATATTTATGCTGTTACTCCGAGTTTCATGGTTATTCGTTATTTGGCCGAAATGTCACACAGCAACCCCTCGAAGTATGGTGCACTTTTGCAGGTGTAACTAGCAACTTAGGTTGTAATCATTATCTATCCATATCACTCTAAAAAGAATTCAATACTACCACCCTAATCCGTGCTATACATTAACAAAATCAGTGAAATACATGGTGATGGAGTTGACTACCTAGCAGAAGCTAGAGTAGATATGATGTACAATCATGTACATAGTATATACAGGTTTCTCACCTCGCCAGCAGTATCCAGAATGTGTAGTCGCACAGGATCGCCGCTGACCTTGGTCTCCTTCGTGTACGTGTCCTCCAGCGTCGGGTCATACTCGCTCAGGAATCGATGGCATATAAACCTTACAGTCAGTGCTGTGCAGGAGCGAGTAGAGATACATGTAAGACAAAGTCAATAACCTGCAGAATTTACATGCTAGATCAGGGGCGTTTGGAAGGCAAACAAGAAAAGAGGTCGAAGTTAACATAATGTGTAAAGCTATACCAAGTGGCTAAGCAAGATCGTTCTCCGCCGCCCTAATTTCCTGCTTGTATCGTATTGTAACGTTAGATCTCCACCTTAGGCAATGTTGATAGATTTTTGGAGTAAAGGTCCTCCCTCCTCTTGCCCTTACAATGACCTATGGGCATGAAGATTCTCAGCCATACCATGGCTCACCTGATTTCCCCACGCCACCTCTGCCCAGCATTGCTATGCGCACGTCCACAGGTGTTGGGCCCAGGGTTGGTGTTGGCGGCGTGGCCACCCGTCGCGTCCCGCGCCTGCCCTTCTTCTCGACGGTGGTCGGTGGAGAGGAGTCGGAGTCCGTCGTCACCTTCTGCAGGGCGCTCTGTGATCCGCTCCTTGGCAGTTCACGCATCGCTCTGCCTCTCTTCTTACTCGACACAACTGGTGTGGACGGTCTCATGCTGGACGGATTCATTGCAGACTAATGAGAGTCCCGCAGCGTCCACACACCAGCTCCACAACGTTATCTCATGCTTGTCAGGTCAGGAGTACGACTGGAGTTCTTTGAGCACGACGCCACCACAAGACAGAGGAGTACATGTGAGTGCTGGAAAGGTTGGATCCTGTACTTGTTCACGTACAGACTGCTGTCGTCTCCTCGGGGCTGTCCTGATTTTGCGAGCTCCCCCCAACACTGCAACAGAGGAACCGCAGTGGCTGCTACATGTACATGTATATAGCCTCACACCATGACAGAGCAGATAGCGGGCTGGCACACTGTGTAACTCCCCAGTATCAGTAGGTGGACGCGTACCGTGTCCCCTGGACATCTTGCATATACGCGCCTATTGTCCTTACAGGGTCACGCTTTGCTACGCTTGCAACACTCTCCCCTCGCCCTCGCCCTAGCATACATACTAACATAGCCATGTGTTACTACTACTACAGTACCACTCTCTCCGCGCAACATCGTGGCCGGAGCTGCCATCCCAACACTCAAACTTTTGACATGCGGCTGCCGCTGGTGCTCACAAAATGGTAACTGCAGGAATTCTCACCTTCGCTGGCTTAATACATGATTGTACAATGTACATGTACATGCTTTGAGATGGTCGGGCAAGCATCTCGCCACCGCCTTGCAGCTGTCTTAGTCCATGCTAAAGTTACCCACCACTGCAGTTCCAGATAAGTAGTCTCTTGCCAAAATTGGATAACAAAACATCGGCTACAAAGCACAGTGACGATCGAGTGCGTATGCCCATTCATGGGACATGTACAATCATCTACATGTACCTGCATTTGCTGCAACGTGCTGATTGACTACAGTACAATGTACTGGCACAGTGTGTATGTGCATGTACCTTTTAAGACCATACCGATCGATGATTATGATTCTTTGTATGCCTCTCAGAGACACCGTGGTGAGAATGCTATGCCAATAGACATTATGGCGTATCTGCTGACGATATACATGTACGTGATTGTACATTGTAGACGCGAGGAGTTATATCCATGATTGGGCTAAAGTAGAAGTGTCACATCAAGCATTCAAGGGAGGACTGTTCCAATCACATTAAAATACCAATCCGCAGTGCTAAGCTAAGGAATGTGGGCCGTACACACTTTCGCATGGCTGTGGGGTGAATGTGGTATTGAGTGCCACATGCAGATTCTCTGCCAAATTATCCACATGTGCAGTGAATTCGTGCAAGCCATCGTGGGCACGTTTATCTCTTGCAAAGTGTAGGCTAGGCCCATATTCGGCACACCCACGATATTCTACCGTACAGATCCGAGAACTGATAATGTCACACGTACATAATATTATACATGTAGGTCTGATGAAGTCCTTCACACCCTAACGCTTTTGTATCTACAAGTGCATGACTGTACGTCTGCTTGATGGCATAGCTAGTAATAGCTATCATAAACAGAGCATAGCCATCAACGCCTTTGTTTGGATGATTGAATTTTGCATACTGTTATAATAATAGTGTCATTCATAGTCATGGGTGCTCCGCTACAGTAATGTCGCGTATAAAAGCCTGGATTTCTTTCCTGTAGAAGCCGATATCAGTGCTAGGTTTCTGTTCAAGTCAGGCTTCTATTAGGACCATATATCTCTGTGTATGTCAACACTAAACCAGGCTTATGTGCTGACAGTGTATCTTAAAAGTTAAAAAGCAGGCTTGCGTTTAAAACAGGCTTCGAGGCTTTGAGACAGGCTTTCATACAAGACACTAGAGTATGTCAAGCCCCAAGCCCAAGGCCCTGCATGCATGCTGGCAGTACAGACACTCTAGGTCCACTCTACTTCAGTACTTGTGTAGGTTCGTCCAAGGTCAAACACACTGTCATAACCTAGCTCCAGGTCTCACCGTATAAAGACAAACAGTGGCTACATCCACTACATCCACTACATCCACTACATCCCGACTCTACACTACATGATCCCCTACACTGTACTTGTAAGTATCGGCAGAGCAGTACCTGAGTACGGTGATACTGTGGGTCCAACAGGAAGAAGTGGCAGGGTAATGTCATTAACATGCACTCGTACACGAAGATAACATGGTCTGGTGATGTAGTGCTCATTACACCTCAGACAAAAGTAAGGTAGTGACTACGGAGCGTTGTAGGGCACTAGTAGAGCAAAACTGTGAGCTCTTTTCTGCCCGTAGGTTAAAATCAGAATATACAGTCATTATGTGTGGCTTGTACTACTTTCCTTTCCCCCTTTTCAAAACGGAGTATTGTAATTGTATTGGCAAACGAAACACCTTCAAGTGTAGAAAGACAGAATGGTTGTGCTGTCTGTTACATGCGAGCCCAACAAAGTGAATGAAGCGACTGTAAAGAAGAATCTAACAAATGCAATGAACTTGCACAATAAATTCATGTACATGTACAAATGTACATGTAAGTGTAACATTAACGGACATCTTTAACCTTGCAATACCAAATACATTTAGTACTAGCTTGTGACTCAACTATCACTGTCTGCTTCAGGTACTTGCACGTACATGTACATGCACGGCCATAAATGTTACGCCCTTCGGCCCGCTTTGAAGTGTGGTCTCAGTTAGACCTAGCATCAGGTGATGAAGATTGAATTGTGCTTTGACAAGAGCACTGTGCAAATCGATAATACTCTCTCATATTATACCGGTAATGCCTAACGGTATTGTACTCTGCTGCAGTGTACAATTACTGGGATAGATGTACAGTGTACTGTAGTTATTCATGAGCATTAATGATTGACTCACATAGTCATTGTTGTCAAGTTGTGCTCCGGCGAGCCAGTTTGTCTCAAGTTTAGTCGTCGCAGTGAACCTGGTGCATATTGCATTAATTTATTGAATTACATGTACCGTGGACGGTGGTACACTGTACATTGTGTATGTGTATATCATTCGTCGGTTACTGAGATCCACGTAGGACTACAAGCACACAATAGACATCCCTCTGCGTCTAAAACTGAAGGACATCGGAGCGACGTCAGCGATGTCCCGAAGCTGACTCACACAGTGCAATAACATGACGCTACGTGTCGTTTGTTTGCATTGCATTTACCCAGGACTGGAGCTAGGCCATTCCAACATCAATATCTGACAGTGGCAGCACAGTCACCATTCTCCTCCTGCCCCGTACTGTATTGCTACACGTGCCTTCGATTCCTTCCCTTGATCACGCGCGTGTGTGTGGTTGACGTCTATAACCTTAACGTTACCTTAGGGTCTGTTGGGAATGCCCAAGTATTAAAAATAAAAAATAATAATAAATCACTCTTCATGAGCCGAATCTACCGGTATTAAGACGGCCAGACCCTTTCCCATAGGGGATACCAATACCAAGGTCCATATCATTGTTCAAGACGTCACCGAAAGAACGTTCAGAACGATCGACTGTGGTTCATCTTCAGATTCAAGTATGAGAGTTGGGAGGAGTGAGAAGTGCAGTCCGCATACTGTATAGACGTCAACCACACACACGCGCGCACACACCAAGACCTAAAGAGATACACACCACACACCGACATACACCAGGTACGCACACACGCACACGCGCGCGCACGAACACGCGCGCTCACGCACACACCTCCCTCCCAGACGTTGGAGACAACAGTGAAACAACGAAAAAATGAGGTGAAACTTCATGAAAGGTGACTGATCACAGATAGTGTTGCTGGTGGCGGGTGAAGTCTTCTGGGCGAGAGGAACGCTCCCTGCATTGACTGTACTGGATGCACTACTCTTCTGATCCCTTTGCAGAGGTTTGACTTATGATGAGCCCAATGATGGTGAATCCTGGTGTACAGCGATCGTAGGTCGACCAATCGTGCTGGCATCATTCCAAATGCGAATTGCACCTGGGTTGAAAGACTGGAGGTGCGTCAGATGTCTGCAGCTCATCGCAATGGTGAGCCTCAAAAACCACCAGCACCTCTTAACCAACCGTGACAGAAATCACCGGACAAGGTCCATACATCGTGTGAACTCACCTCATGCTTGAGGATCATGGACCAAGGTGACCTCCTGGTTGATATTGCCAAACCCGAGCTCACGTGTTACAACCTCTTTCCACAGTTGTGGCTCACCAGGCTGGATGGGGTCACTTATACATGTACACACTTGCGCACGAACGCACAGATGCGCATCCACCCCCCCCCCCCCCCCACACACACATGCACACACACTCTCTCTCCCTCTATCTCCCCCCCCCCCCTCTCTCTCTCTCTCTCTCTCTCTCTCTCTCTCTATTATATCGCCATGACTGCTACTACTACACTGCACTACGACTCGAACTGAATAAGCATTCATTTTCACAGATTTTGAAATAGCACGCTGTGTCATAATATTAGTTATTATGATACTACTATTATCTGTATCAAGGTTCAAGAAGTAACAGTACTAAACTAGAGTGCCCATTATTCCGCCCCTCTGGACCCAGGCTGTCTCCAGGGTTCGGACGAGAAGATTTGGATAAGGGAGCAGTCACCCATAAATTTGTAACAACAAGAGAATACCTACTCTTGGTACTAGGCTATTAGCAAGATTACTCTACGCTATCAAACTGCTGACATTGAATAACATGCGGGGCTTGATGTTGCTGCCAGTGGTTTCTGGGGCAGTCGAGTTGTATATCATCAACACGAGAGGAAAAAGAGAAGGCATTATGAAGAGAGAGAGAGAGAGAGAGAGAGAGAGAGAGAGAGGAGAGAGAGAGAGAGACTGAGAGAGAGAGAGAGAGAGAGAGAGAGAGAGAGAGAGAGAGAGAGAGAGAGAGAGAGAGAGAGAGAGAGAGAGAGAGAGAGAGAGAGAGAGAGAGAGAGAGAGAGAGAGAGAGAGAGAGAGAGAGAGAGAGAGAGAGAGAGAGAGAGAGAGAGAGAGAGAGAGAGAGAGAGAGAGAGAGAGAGAGAGAGAGAGAGAGAGAGAGAGAGAGAGAGAGAGAGAGAGAGAGAGAGAGAGAGGCGGATATGAGCAAGGCGTTTGACCGTGTTCAGCACACAAGTCTGCTGGAAGAGCTAGCCACCACTGGCTTAGGTGGCACTGTCCTCAGGTGGTTCTCAGACTATCTCACGAACCGCAGCCAGCAGGTTACTGTCAATGGTGAGAAGGGTGACACCAAACCCTGTACAAGAGGGGTCCCCCAGGAGTCTGTTCTTGGGCCTTTGCTTTTCTGCGTCTACATTCGCCGGGTACCCGATATATTTCACCAGAGTGCCGTGCAGCTGTACGCTGATGATATTGCGTTCTACGTGTTCGGCTCTGATGTGGCTACAATTATGCTACGCTTGCAGGATAGTATGCGGTTGCTAGAGCAATACCTTGATGAGAAAGGCCTTCTCCTCAACCCCACTAAAACACAGTTCATGTTGATACGGCGTCCTGCCCTGCGTGCACTGAGCCCAGCCCTGTACCTCAC